CTGCCTGCCCACCCCTGCCTGGCTCCATGGATGACAGTTTCATCATTTTTTTGAGCATTTTGGTTTGAATTCAGTCAGGTTGTAAAAATATTCATTTTATCCCTAGCTCAGATGTGGAAATTGAATGTCACTTGGAAGCAGAAACCCAGAATTATTCCGTGAGAAAATGCTAAAAAGAGGTTCTGCAAACTTCAAAAAATAAACTGCCTTCCCCAGTGAGGCTGTTTGCTTCTGTGAGCCCCGTGCTGGCCATGGCCTGCTTGGCAGGGGACTGGACTGGGGCTCCCAGTACCTTTCCTCCCTCTCCCTGTCATTCTCATGGAGCAAGAGCATAGAAATACAAATGCTAAAGGTTCAGATACCAGAGCCAACATTTGAATTTTTAATCTCCCCAAATCTGCAATCCAATGACATGGATTTAAAAAACAAATTTCTTTTACTGCGCTTTTCAGTGGGTTGAGTTTTTCATGCTCAGACTTTACCATGGAGTTACCTTCTCCTTCCTGGAGCCACAGGGGCTGGATTTGCTGTGGCCCTGCCCAGAGCAGAGCCAGGGACCAGGTGCCCTGGACAAGTCACCCCAGCTGAGTCCCAGCTCCCAGCACTGCAAACACCACTTCCCACAAGGAGCACCACCTGGGCAGGGCTGCATGGGACATTGGGAGGGAATTCTCCCCTCTGAGGGTGGGCAGGCCCTGGCACAGGGTGCCCAGAGCAGCTGGGGCTGCCCCTGGGTCCATGGCAGTGCCCAAGATCAGGATGGACAGGGCTGGAGCAGCCTGGGGCAGTGGGAGGTGTCCCTGCCATGGCAGGGGTGGCACTGGATGAGCTTTAAGGTCCCTTCCCATGCAAAATATTCTGAGGTTTGATGATTTCCAGGCATCACTGCCCAGCACAGGGGCCCAGGGGACACAGGGGTCCCCAAGGAGGGACTGTGGCCAGGCTGGCCCAGGGTGCTGGCACTGCCCTGGCACAGGGGCTGCCCACTGCTCAGTGCCCTCACTCCCACACCACGCCCCAGCACTGCCCTGTGCCATGGATTCCCACCCCACTGCCCTGCTTTCTGTGCCTGGCACCCTGGCACCCTGCCATGTGCTCCAGGGGAGCTTTCCTCACTCCTGTTTCTGGGTCACATCTTCCATCTCCCTTCTTTTCAGCTGGCATCTGCCTTTTTTAGCTGGGTGCCTCCTGCTCAGGCCCTCCTGTGCCTCCCTGGCTCCTCCCTGGCACAAGCCCGGCTCATGCCCAGGTGCTGGCACACTGGGGGATATTGCCATGCCCCCCCAGCTGAGAACAGGGTACAAAATCCCAGGCTTTGGGGGGGCTGTGCAGGTTTTGGGTGCATGGTTTTTAATTAGAAATTGACATTTTAAGCCTGTGGCTGCCAAGCAACGAGCATCCAGCAGCTGATCTCTGCTGTGAGATGGAGGGACCCGTGTTCCCAGCCTGGGGAAGGGCCAGCCTGCCCCTCCTGCTCGGGCACTCAGCCCTGGGGACATGGGCAGGGGCACTGGGTGGCACCCAAGGCACAGGGTGACCCAGGGCTCCATCACCCCAGAGCTGCAGAACTCTGTGTTCGGTAGGGTGGGGGTGAAATTCCCCCCCCAAGAGGAGCTGGGATGCTCTGAGCCTGCAGCCTGATCGCCCCATGAAGGAGCCCAGGATTCCCAGAGCTGAGGATCTGACCTGGTTCAGGGGGCAAACAGGAGTGGGTGGGCTGAGCTGCCACACCTGGAGCCATGGGGACAGGGCAGGAGTCGGGGCACAGGGAGGTTTGTGCATCCTGCTCTGGCCTCATCCTTACACAACAACCACCTTCCTGCTCCTCTTCTCCTTCCAGAAGGGATTCCTGCCTCCCATCAGCCACTGGCTCACTGCACTCTTGGCACTGCCCTGCCCTGGCACCTCCCTAGGCTGGCAGCACAGGGGAGCACCTTGAGCTGGGCTCCAGGGGCAAAGCCCTGTGAAGCTGTGCTACTCAGGGCCATGCTGCAGGTGCTGATGGGCACAGCAGGACCCCCTGCCCTGCCTGGTGCCCCTGCCCTGCCCTGGCAGGGAAGGGAAGGGGCTGCAGCTCCTCAGGGAAGCTGCTCCCCAGCCTGCTGTGAGTGGGGCAGCACCGTGAGCTCCTGAGCTGTGCAGGGAACACTGGAGCTGCCCTATTCATGTCCTCCTTCTGTTCTGGTACAGGCTCATTTCTCACAGATCTCACTCAGAGCTGTGCAGATTCCACATGCACTGGACAGTGGCCAGCTGTGTCCTCATGCCCAGGCCATGGTTTCCTGCTGTAAAAACCTGCAAACATCCCACTGGAGCAGACTGGTGCCCTGTCTGCATGTCCAGCAGTGGCAAACAGTCCCAAGAACGTCCTTAAATACACCTAAAGCTCTTCCCCCAGAGGGTGCTGGCACTGCCCAAGCTCCCCAGGGCATGGGCACAGCCCCAAGGCTGCCAGAGCTGCAGGAGGGTTTGGACACTGCTCCCAGGGATTGCTGGGTGCCTCTGCAGGGCCAGGAGTTGGGCTGATGGCTCTGGTGGGTTCCTTGCAGGACATTCCTGCCTCTGGGCTGCAGCCCTGCCCTGAGGAGAGCTCCTGGCTGCAGCAGGAGAGCTGCAATCCCTTCTGTGCTTCCTCCTGGGGCCTGAGGAGGCTGCAGATGCTCCTCTGCTCCCTAAGCACCTAATCTTCCTCCTGAGCCCTCCTGAGCCCTTCCCTGCAGCTCTATCCCATTACTGCTCAGTGCTCCTCCCTAAGCAGAGACACTCCAGCCCTGCTGTGCTCGCTCCTTGGCTCATCCTGGGTGGAACTGAACATTTCACATGGGACAGCTGGACTGCCTTCCATTCAGTCTCTCACCCTGCTGGGTATTCAGCCCTTGCTGTGCCCTATTTTGTGTGTGCTCCAAGAACAGGGCACAGGACATTTTTCATTCCAAGATCTCATTGAATGGAGATGATGCATTTTGTCTGCATGGAACATGTCTGTCCTCAGTAGGGCTGGTGGCTTCCAGATAGGGCAAGACCCTCTTGATCTGCCCAGAGCTGCCCACAGAATAAACTCCCATCTGTGCTCAGAGAGAATTTCAAACCTTCAGCAGAGCCACATGGCCTGGAATGAGCCACTACCTGCTCAGGAGGAATTCTGGGACAAAGGGTAGCACAGGCTGCTGTGGCAGAGGTTCCTTCATGTGGACCAGGCTTTGGAGGGGCTGCCACATCAGAGCAAGGCAGGGGCAGGGGGACACTGAGGTTCTGGGCACCAGGCTGCCTCAACAGGCTGCTGCTCACCAGTGTTTGACTGCAGTGAGGAGCAGAAAGGGCGAGATTTGACTTGTGAGAGATTTATGGGCAGGAGAGCAAAGCAAAGCAGGGCAGTGCTCTGCCTGGTGGGGAGGAGGGAGATGTCTGCACCCACCAGGCACATCCCTCATCTCTTACAGCCCACCTCAGATTTCCTGCCCTTCCACCCCTCAGTGGTCTCCAGCAGTACCTGCAGCACCCTGAAGTGCAGAAGGTTGCAGGATCTCCCTGGAGGGGCTCAGAGCTTGCTGAGTCTGGGGGAGCCAAGTGCTCAGTGCCCGTCCCTGTTCCTGCCCCTCTGTGGGGATGGGAGTTCTGCACCCTGCTCACCTGCAGTGCCTCCCCTGCCTTCACTTACCTGCCCTTGCCCCCAGCTCCTGGGCCAGCCCTGGCTGTTTGTCCCACAGCCCCAGCAGTGCCTGCTCATGCTCAGCACTGTGTCCATCCCTGGCCACTGCCTCCTTCTCCTCTCACCTTCCACTCCACACATTTTCCCCCAGTGCCTCCCCAGCTTCTTGGAGTGATCCAGACCCATCATTTTCTCCTGCTGGCATTGAAGATCTGGCCCATTATAACTGAACTGGCCATTGTCACATTTCACCCGCTCTGTCACCCCTGGGGACAGCAGCAATGCAGTGCCAGGGGAGCTGTTCCTGCCTCAGAGCAGAGTGGCACCCCCAGGCTGACCTGTGGGCTGCAGAGCCACCACCAGCTGAACCCTGCCATGACAAAACTTGAAACAGAAGGGCCTTGGTGTGACCTGGGGGGGTCACACACTCCCTGCGCCCATGGGGCAAACCATAGCACAAGATCCCAATCTGAGCAAACTCCTCAGCTCCAAACAGCTCCTCTGGGATTTGCTCCCATCTCCTCCTCCCTAAAGGACCCTGCTCCTCTCAGCCCTCCCACACAGCATCCTCCATAAGGGATGCAAGGGCCTCACCCTCCTGTGCTGTGCCCTGCGGCTGTGCTGGGACTCTTCTGGATCCCTCTGTTTGTCCTGGCAGCACCCTCAGCTCCCAGCCACGGGCACAGCCTGATCACACGTCCCCCTGCTCTGCTGTCCCCATAAGCAGTGCCAGGGCCCCTCAGGTTTGCAGCACAAACATCTCTAAGCCTGGAGAAGTCCCCTTGGATTGCTTGGATTGCTGCCCCATCTCCCAGGCCTTCTCTTCTCCACCCCACACTCACACTGTCCCTGCCTTCTGTCCCCCCTGCCCAGCCAAGTCCTGACCCTGTGTTTCTCCCAAAGGTTTCAAAGCTCTCTGATTTTTCTCCTGCTCTCCACACATTCAGCCATGCTCAGAAAGGCTCAGAAAGCCTCTCTGATGCCCTTCCCTTGTTTCCTACGTGCCTCTGTCATCCATGCCTGCCTCTGGCCTGGCTCCCTGTCCTGCTGGCTGCCCAGAGCCTTGCCTGTCCCCTCTCCCAGCCATGGCTGGTGATCCCCAGCACCCACCTGCTCCAGCCACATCACTATGGTGACTCTCAGCTCCCCCATGCTGTGCCTGCCTCGTCTCTTGCCCTGACACCCAGCCAGCCTGGCTGCCATTGCTGCAAGGACAGCCCCTCGGCCCGGGCTGAGCACAGAGTCACCCACCCTGCACCCTGCAAGGACACGGCCCCTGTTCTCTGTGTCCCCTCATGAGGGACAGCCCTGGAGCCCAGAGGGACACACGGTGCCCAGGATGCTGAGGCTGGCCTAGTGCTGAGCCCAGCAAGCTGAGAGGTACGGGATGGACCCGGGGTGGCTTTGGGATGGACCCAGGGTGGCTTTGGGATGGACCTGGGGTGGCTTTGGGGTGGCTCTAGGGTGGCTTTGGGATGGCCCCAGAGTGGCTTTGGGATGGACCCAGGGTGGCTTTGGGGTGGCTCTAGGGTGGCTTTGGGATGGCCCCAGAGTGGCTTTGGGATGGCCCTGGGGTGCCTTTGGGATGGCCCTGGGGTGCCTTTGGGATGGTCCCGGGGTGGCTTTGGGATGGCCCTGGGGTGGCTTTGGGGTGGCCCCAGAGTGGCTTTGGGATGGCCCTGCGGTGACTTTGGGATGGCCCTGGGTGGCTTTGGGATGGCCCTGGGGTGGCTTTGGCACTCCCAAGGGGCCTGGGGGGCACAGCCCCGGCTCTGTGCGTGTGCCCAAGGGGCAGTGGAGCTCCTGCAGGAGCAGCCTGGGGAAGGGAAGCTGGAGGGTGATTCAATGACAACCCTCCCTCCGTCTCCTGGCGAATCCTGCGCCACGCCCCACAAAATAAAGTTATGAAATCTGCTGCCCATTGCCCATCCCTGCTGTGCAGACACTGCTCTGCTCCCCCTGGAGCCCAGTCATGCCTGAGTCCCTCCTGTTGAGCCATCAGTGCTCCAGGTGTGTCAGTGCCTCAGGACAGCACTGCCCTGCTCAGGGACATTGCCATTGCACTGGGGCTGCCCTGGCCTGGCAGTGAACCAGGGCTCACCACACCAGCTCCTGCAGAGATCATTTCCCCTCTGCCTTGAACTGTGTCACCCTCCATTCTCCTTCCTGGATCACCAGGAATGAGAACCATTTGTCTTCACTTGGAGAAGCCTCTGGAGCTGCCTGTGGCTTTCCTGCAGGTGCCCAAGCCCCCTCTTCACTCTGGTATAGCTGAGAAATGAGGCTTTGGGCTCTTTCACAGAAAAACCTCTCCAGCTGCCCTTCATTCATAGAATCCCAGAATTCCAGAATGGTTTGGGCTGGAAGAGATCTCAAAGAGCATCTTTGTTACAACCCCCCTGCCCTCGGCAGGGAGACCTTCCACTATCCCAGTCTGCTCCCAGCCCCATCCAGCCTGGCCTTGGGCACTTCCAGGGATCCAGGGGCAGCCACAGCTTCTCTGGGCACCCTGTGCCAGGGCCTGCCCACTTTCACAGGGAGGAATTTCTTCTTAAATATTATAAAATAATTGATTCCTAAATGTCTTCCTAAATTCCCTTCTTCTCTTTTCCTCCACACGGCCTTTGCTGGGCTGCTGACTGAAAGCCCAGCAGGGGCTCCTGCAGCCTGCCAGGGCTGCTCCATGCCCCTGGCACTGCACCTGGCCTGGCCTGCTCAGGACACTGAGTGACTTTCCTGAGCAGCACCCGGACACTCACAGTGCAATCAGCAGCAAACATCATCCCTTGTGCCTTCCTTTCATGTCCTTCCAGCCACTTGGAGTGGCCATGAGGCTCAGGAATAGGCAGAAGGATGGCAGAGGCATTGCTCCTCACAGCCAGAAGGTTCTGGGCTGCCTGGTGCCAGCCCTCCATGCCCTTGGCATGGCTGGAATGCCCTGTCCCCCTGGGGTGCCCTCCAGCACCCACCCAGCTCCTGCTCTGGCTGCCCCAGTGCCTCTGCCCCCCAGGCTCCATCATGGACAAATAACCTGGAAAATTACAGTTTAAGGGGAAAAGACTATACATTTGGAAGCTGATAGCTTTTCAGATAGGGGGCTTGGAAGCATGAGGAAAACCTTCACTGCCCTGCAAAGGGAGCCAGGCACCCCTGGAATTTGGGAGAGGAAAATTCCAGGGTTGAGAAAGACTTTGGAGGGTGCAGAGAGCACTGTGGGGCTCGTTGTTCCTCTCTGCTGGGCCATTTCCCCTTAGGGATGAACTGAATGGTCAATTCTGTATTCAGGACTGGGAAGGCAGCTGCACTTTTGCTGAATCTGCTACAGGAAGGAAAAAAAAAATCTGTATATTTCCATTTTCCTTAGAGAATGAAGCCTCTTCCCGAGAAAGCCAGCTCTCCATTTGCAAAAGCACCAGGGCAAAGGGATGGGAAAATCCCCGTGCTCGCTGCTCCCACACGGTGCTCACCCCCAGGCCAGGCTTTAAGCAGGTGCAGGGACTGCAGAGGTGTTTCACAGAACTGAGCAGTCCTGGCTCTGAGCCCTCACTCCCACGGGGCAGCCCTGGCCAGGCATCCCAAACCAGCAAAATCCACGGGTTTGGAATCACCTCTGAAACCACCAACACCTGGATCAATACCTGGATTGCCCGAGGTCAGGCTGGGATCCCTGGCAGAGGGAAATCCAGGAGCTCTTGCTCTGTCCTGCCTGGACCCATGAAGGCTCCTCACCTGCCCTGCACACACCTCCAAGGGCAGCCAGAGGGACAGGCTGGTCCCCAAAGAGGCTCCTCAGCCCTCCCAAGGGCAGAGCTCTGTGCCCTGGGCATGGGAATGCCATGGCTGCATAGGAATGCCATCCTGGCATGGGAATGCCATCCTGGCATTGGAATGCCATCCTGGCTTGGGAATGCCATCCTGGCTTGGGAATGCCATGGCTGCATGGGAATGACATCCTGGCATGGGAATGCCATGGCTGCATGGGAATGCCATGGCTGCACAGGAATGCCATGGCTGCATGGGAATGCCATCAGGGCATGGGAATGCCATGACTGCATGAGAATGCCATCAGGGCATGGGAATGCCATCAGGGCATGGGAATGCCATGACTGCATGAGAATGCCATCAGGGCATGGGAATGCCATGGCTGCATGGGAATGCCATCCTGGCATGGGAATGCCATCCCACCAGGAGAAAGCAGCCCGAGATCTCAGAGCATGTCAGGAACAGGCACTGCCCTGCAGCCCAGTCCAGGGCAAGGTCACCTCCACTCCATGGCAAGGTCACACCCAGCCCAGGACAAGGACATCACAGGGCAAGGACATCACAGCCCATGGCAGAGTTACCCCCAGTCCATGGCAAAGCTGGGCATGAGAATGCCATCCTGGCATGGGAATGCCATCCCATCAGGAGAAAGCACCCTGAGATCCAAGAGTGTGTCAGGAGCAGGCACTGCCCTGCAGCCCAGTGCTGGCAAAGTCACCTCCAGTCCACATCAAGGACATCCCAGTCCACGGCAAGGACATCCCAGTCCATGGGAAGGTCACCCCCAGTCCATGGGAAGGGAGACACACGTGCACCAGAGCGACCAAAAGCCCTGAGCAGAAGAGGAGCAGGAAGTGAACAGTTGAGCCTAATTTGTGCAAGGCTGTAAATGAATTTCACTGTGGCAGATGGTCAGTGGATTATTTTCCAGAGGGTTAGGCAAGACCCAGATTAGGAAAAGCTGAGAAATTTTGATGTGGCGTGCAGGACGTTATCCTGGGGCTCAGGACCCTGGTGCGTGTGAGGGGGTCCTGACTGTGTGTGAGGGTCAAGGGGCCCCATCTGAGCAAAGCTGGGCTCTGCAAAAATGCAGGTGTGGGCCAAGCGTGCAGCCCCCGTACACCAGATTGGCAACACCACCAAAAGGTGCCCCCCAAGCTTTCCATGCCCTTAAAGCAAAGCTCCTGGCTGGGGAGATTGGCATCCCCCGGCTGGGTCAGCCCGGTCTCAGGGGGGACATCTGGGTTGGGCAGGGGGGCCGTGCCCTGCCCTGGCCCCGCTCGGGGCCGTGCCCACCGCCCGCAGCCCCCAGCCCCTGGCTCGGCACCGCCGGGAGCGGGGCTGGGGCTGCCGTGCCGGGCTGGGCGGGGGGTGCTGCGCCGGCCCCGCTCCGCTCCCTGCCCTGATTTCCTGGTGGAAATCCCAGAGTCTTCTCCAGATCCAGCTCTGGTTTTGGGGGCAGCCATCTCCCTCTCCCTCTTTCCTCTTCCCTCCTTCTGCTCTCCTTCCTCCTCCTCTCCCTCCCTCCTCTCCGCACTGTGCTCTCCGGGGGCTCTGGGTACCGCTGCAGCATCGCCAGCCCCCTCCATGCAGGCGGCTGGGGCGCGGGGCGGAAGGGGAGGGCTGCGGGGGCCAAGCTGAATGAATGGGCATCGCCTCGGTGCCGCTCGAGCCTCCGCATAGGGGCGAGGCGGCCGCACCGCGCCGCGGGCAGGGGGGCAGCGGGGCCGGCCAGCGGCCGGGGCCGGGGCCGGGGCCGGGCCGGGCCGGGCCGAGCCGAGCCGGGCCCCCCGCCCAGCCCGCCGGGGCGCTGCGAGCAGCGGGCGCTGCCCCGCCGCGGGACCCGCACAGCCGGGCCAGGTGAGGAGGGGCTGCGGGGGGCCGGGGGCGCCGGGAGCGGGGCGGGAGCGCGGGGCGGGGATGGACGGTGCGGGGCCAGGGCACGGACGGTGCGGGGAACGGCTCGGCCGGTGCGGGATGGAGAGATGGACGGTGCGGGGTGAAGGTCTGAGAGGTGCGGGAAGGAGCCGGCCGGTGCGGGAAGGGGCCGGCCGGTGCGGCAGGGATGGCCGGACCGTGCGGGAGGGATGGCGGGACGGAACGGGGTGTGTGGCCGGACAGAGCGGGGTGTGTGGCCGGACGGAGCGGGTTGTGTGGCCGGACGGTGCGGCAGGGATGGCCGGACAGAGCGGGGTGTGTGGCCGGACGGTGCGGGAAGGGGCTGGCTGGTGCAGGGCTGGGCTGGCTGGTGCGGGAACGAGCAACAAAGAGTTAAGTGGCTGCGGAGCAACCGGGCTCAGAGCGTGTGTGAGTGTGTGTGTGAGTGTGAATGTGTGTGTCTGTGTGTCTGTGTGTGAGAGACATCCCGCACCCCGGGGGCGTGGCCCAGCCCACCCCACGCGTGTCCGTGCGGGGCAGAGGGCGGCCGGCTGCCGCTGCGGGCTGCGGCGTGGCGGGGCCGCGGCTGCGCAGGGGTGCGGGAGCCACGGCAGAGCCCGGCCCCGCCGCTGCCTCGCTGCTCCCCGCGTCACCAATATCACAAATATATGCGTGTGCGGGAGCCCCGGCCCGGAGCGTGTGCGGGGACCCTCTGCGGAGCCGTGCCGGCTGCGGGAGCC